GACTGGCTGACGACGGTTAATAAACCAGAAGTAGCCATTCCAGTCTCCCTTGTCTTTGCCGGCAATACATTCTACCTATACTACTAGCTTCTACGGTTGCTGTCAGGACCCGAGAAATGAGACCCAAGTTAGAGCGTGACAAGTGAGTTCTGTTAGCGGTCGGTGAACCTTCATCAACGAGCGTATGAAAATTATAAAGGAACCAAGAATCTAGAGGGAAATATATTCCCTTTGAAGAAAATTAAAGCAGCGTTGATTTACGACAACATGTGGCGGAAGAACGCGCCAAGCAGATTAATTTGTAACTGCAAACTCTGTTATTATACAGCTTACTTATTCCACCTAACGCTTACAATATAGTTAGGGGGCCACGAATGACGTGCAGTAAGCTATCTTGATTACCAAGGGAGTGTAGGGGCCATACTTCGCCCGATATAGCCAGTCTACGGTTCTCAAAAGTGGTCACGCAGCATCGAAAAGTAAGACGTGGGAGAATATTATGGCCACTTCTCACTTGACTTCATCAGCAGTTCCTACTCCATCCTCCGAGCGAAAAGGCTCCTGGTTCGAGTCCGGGTACCCTATCTTCCGAGATCAGGTATATGAGACGTTGTATGGGAGTGACGGCCATCGTCGCTGTGCGACTGTCTACAAAGCCTTATTCTGGAGTAATAAGTTCTCTTTTTCTGCATTCAGGCGAGAACGGTGTGCCCGATCGCAGCGGTTTTAGAAACTGTTATAAGTGGACGGGTAGATGGGGATGTGCAGTGCGTCCCAGCTCGCAGGTTGGTCCAGAGTCAAGTACAAGGACACATTTTGGCAGCCGTCGGTGGAGGAAAGGAGCGACATAGGACTGATTTTTGTCGCCGGGAACGACTATATGAAGACTTACTGCTTTTCCGAAACAAAGCGACGACTGATGGGTTAATAAGGCAGCGACGCTCCCACAACACATTCCCATGTCTTCTGCTCTGCCATTTTGCGAACACATACTCCAAACCCCTACCATCCCTAAAATCGTGGGTACTTCTCGGATGAGCCACCTAGACCCGCAGCTTCGCTAGCTACGCTACCTCGAGCTGCAAAATTCCACATAAGGAGCTAATAAAGCTACTGCTCCTGTCTTTTCGGTCCAATGTAGGTTGCAGTGGATGGAACAGTCAATGAGACAATGGCAAAACAGGGTATACGCACTCAGTTCCCTACTACAGCTTAAATCACTTCACCGTCTATCTCATTTCAAATGATTAATCTGTTCCACCTGTTCGATCTCCGCTTCGACTCCCACCGTCAAACATCAAAAACTCTCAAGTCTGGAAGTACGCACTCGGGAAAAAAACTCAGTTTGCCGGAGCCTCCAAATATAACTGAGCGTCAGTGTTAAAGGCGATTCACTCATCAGCCAAACGATTGGATAAAGATGGTCAATACCGACTACGAGGAGCGAATACGCTGTTCAGTCATGAAGAGGACCGACATTCGATTCCTAAACATTTCTCGGGTTTGTAACGCCGTGCAAATGACTTGATTGGTTAGATTGGCGTGGAGGACGGAGGTGTTTACAATCACGTTGAATTGAAAAAGTATAAACCCTTCCATTGCGGACCTCCCTAAAGTAGTCAGTTGCAGGGCAGAAAACCAGTAGTAACAAGAAAAAAATGGGATATAAGTGACAAAAAGGTAGTACATTCTCTGCTTATAAGTAAAAAAAAGTTCAAGGAGATAGTGTGTAGTGACATGATGGAAACTAGACGACAAATGGGTGGAAATGGGTTCATTTACAATGCAACAGGGAACATAAAATGTGTTTAATTAAATGGTGGGAATTTCGCAGAACCCAGAAATTACTGCTCCTCCGTGTCGACGTATTTGGACAAGTCAAATGTGAGTACACGGCTCACTAGACAATTGTTCTCCTAAAAAAAGAAGGCAATTCTGCATTAAAGGCGACGGCGTTAGCACATTGTTTAAAAAATAGATGATGATCGACTAATTTCGCAGGCCCTAATAACTTCATGCAAAAAGGCTAAAAATGGAGTATGCATGCAATAATGAAGGACTAAAACAATGAGATGCGCAGCGTGACATTATTTGTAATAAAAAGATGCAGAAAATGAAATTTTGTTGCGCTACCGCTCCATGACTGCACGAGTACTAGTCCAGACAATCTCTCCCTGGAAAGTGCATCTTTCACTTTTTTGAAGCCTGTGTTGTTAGTAGTCTGATTTATTGAAAGTCTGGGTCATCACGTGTGTGGCACGTGTAGACGGAGAATTTCAGGCCACATAAACCACTTAACCCGACCCTTTATGCACCTGACGCCACTAGCTAGTTATCCAGCCGTATGGCAACTCTGCACATTCTCCACTCTTATAAACCGGGCACACTAAAAACTGTGTCCTAGAACGGCAACGTCCAAGTGCAAAAGCCTCGCCAGGAGGTTGAAAAAGGGGGCGCAGAAGGGGGGCAAGGACTGGCGTCCCCACAAACTTACAATGTCCGGATATATGCCGACTAGAGAGTCTGCCCGACTGTAAAACTCCTCCTTCAGAGAGATCACGATAACTTGGGCGCGAGTTCGCGAATACTCGCGGATGAAGCTGGCCACTTTGCCGATATTGGTGTTGTCCAGGGCAGCGTCAATTTCGTCGAGCACAAAGAAGGGCGAAGGATTGTACTGGTGCATGGCAAAGGAGAGAGCCAGCGCGGCGATGGTCTTTTCACCGCCAGAGAGACTGTCCATCTGCTGGAATCTCTTGCCCGGTGCGACACACTGGAACTGCAGATCCTCTAGATAGGGCTCCTCCGCGTTCGTTGGCAGTAGGCTGGCCTAGGGGTAGGAAGAATAAGCTGAGGACCAGGAAGTGAATAGGGACACTTGTGAGTGTAACCCGTCAGGAAGACACTTCAGCGAAGAAGTCGTACTTAGATAGTTTGTTGAAATTGTCGTACGAACTACGAATTCTTGTATTATAGCCAATTTGTGTAGGCCCAAACATCCCGCGTTAGTCAAGTGGTAAATTGCCTCACTTCGGTTTTTTTCATTACTGAGACGTTTAAATAGCTGGAACGAAGAGCATAACACTCCAACACTTTAAACAACACAGTAAATGGAGATATGATTTGTGAATGTCTACATTTTTAATCTGAAGAAAAGATAGCAAGTGTAGAGTAAAACAAGTGAACAACAGAACGTAGGTAAACACTTTTAGGAAAGTGGTAAACACGCAGAACAAAATCGGTATTTAGGGACAATCGAATAAAAACACTGAAATTCGTTGAAGGTTAAGCAGAATTTCAAGAACAATCTGAAGCTCGTTGCATCCAAACTTTCGAAATAATTACGAAGGAATGTGACGGAAGGAAATTTCTCTCAATGTACACGAAATGGCATGTTTACGATTGCACATTGCAAATTGAGTTAACTTTATTAGTCACAGACCGGCATGTCGACCTTACTCCTATGACGACCCAATCGGCAGGGTCAAGTGAAAATCTGATTGACTTAGTCCAGCATATCTCAAAAGATAAATAAACAAAGAAACAACTGGAAGGTTTTATGAAGGTTTTACGAACTGGAACTTTGGGCTGTTTGGCAACAGCCATACTTTACACTGCGCGTAATACAGCAGCATATGTGCCCGAAAAATTCACAAAAGGATTATTTTCAAAAGTAATTCTACTTGTGCTACTTTATTCACTCGGTTTTTTGCATGAACACACTACCTCTACATCGAAAAGTTAAGTTTTAATAGTGACTCGATTATTCACCTTTTCTAAATTTTCTGTTTTTCTAAAAAAACGAGTTTTACTTTATCACATAATATCACATACTTGATAAAACAGAATGTGTCTTCTTTTTTATTAGGATGCTTACTTTTTCAAATTAAGACTTGGGGGAACGAAGCTTGGTCTATTTTTGCGTACCGGGGATTCTCTTTTAAAAATTCTCGGATTTCATTAGTTTTAAGATCTACTGTAAATATTAAATTTCGGTTAAGTTATCATTCTTAATTTAAAATACATTTTACAGTGTGGTTTAGTATTGCATGAGATCAGTCACTGACTGGACAAACTATTACGCATACCAAGGACAAATAATTCGAAGATAAAGGAGGGTTTGAACCAGCAGGGACCAGCAAAGATGCTGAGTGCGATAAAAATAAACCGACTCTCAGACCAGACTCATTTACTGCTGGTGTCTCAAGCACAATCCAGAAACATAGAAACTAACCTGTGCACCCGGGTTACGCGAGAGACTCTTATAGAGGGGGTCAATGTTGTCTGCGATGGAGTTGAAACAATTCATGAAGGCATTGTAGCGCAGTCGGCGAATGCGCTCAAACTGGGCCCTTGCGCGTTTGGCCTTTCGTCGAGTCTCCTCGAATTCGGCTTCAGTTGAACGTAGGCGCTGCTCAACGTTTCCCAGCTTGGCACTGGCCCGCAGATTAGGCGCCTGAATTCTGGCCAGGTTGTTTGCCATCCGGTCAATGTCATTCTGCATCTCGTCAATTCTATCACGGAGGAACGAT